ATAGAAGAAAATGTGAAACAAAAAATTAACGTAAAAGTATAGCTCGAGAAACGCAGGCTAAAGGTGGTAACATACGTATACATATATAGATAGATAGATACATATACGGGACATACGAAAAAACATGTAAGATGAATGTACGAGCGAAACGAGCAATAGATGATACTTTTTTTTTTTTTTTTTTTTTAAAAGTTTTTTGGATAATGAACGATTAGCGAGAGCTTGAGCTGCAACTTACCACGGTGTAAAGGAACTCCAGAACGTACTACGTGTGGGAAAAACCAACGAGAAGAAAGGGCGTTACCACGATCACAGAACCCGCGTGTAGCGGGCAAAAAACGGACGCGCGTACGCAGCATTGCGCGAGCAATCGTTTTCGATCGTCTGTACAATCGTTTGTCTAACAATTTTTCACGTTAACGAAACCATCAAGATCACGCGCGTTTCCTCCCGAGATCGAGGTGAACCCCCTCTAGGCCTCTGGATCCTCTTTCGGAGATCTTTGGTTCCTCCTTCCAGGAGGGTGGCTTCCGGAACCGTCGTACCTAGAGGGTTTACGTTCCCTCCTCGACGTATCGCTGCTAAATCGAGTGCTCCTCGCAATGTTCCGCACGCCGTTACAGAAACAATAGACGTAGACACACACTAAATCAAGCGTACCCATCACACACGCGGTCTTCGCCAGTCACGCCAACATGAACGCAGTCACCCGCAGACTCATCCAACATAGAATGGTATACACGTGACAGACACAAGTTGGAAACTACGCACACACATCATGTATACGATATACGTATATATATGTATAAATATATAAATATACATAATATATAGAGAGAGACAGAAAGATAGCGAGAAAGAGAGGGAGAGTCATTGAGTTGCTACTCTCAGTCATGACTGACCCAACTCGATAAGGCCGGAGGATCGGAAATGGAAACGCGGCTTTCCAATGAGTCTTAGTTCAAATTGTGAGTCGTCGTTGGCTGATTGGAGAGTACTATTCTTCTGTGTCTATAAATAAATGCATGTACAAAATCATAGGGTTGAAGGTCCTCATATTGGAAGAAACTGCTACCGGGTTATCGATCTCATTCGGTGGAGACGCACTTTTTTCTAAAGTAAATATTTGTAGTAAAGAAATTTTTTGCGCTTTTAATCTATCGATAGATACATTCTTTAACATCAGAATTGTAAGGTAACAGAGAATAGATGAAAGGAATTTCATTCAAGGGAACGATTTCATCGAGACCTACAACCCATTGATTTTATAAGGACACGAGGACAGACAAATTTCGATCTTTCTTCCTGTTCATTACAAAAACGAACGATCATACAGAGACATAAAAGGTTAACTCTTCATCGAACCTATGGAAACTTAGAATTTGAGCTACAACCCATTAAAAACACGCGTTTCAGCTTCCGATCTCCCATCCTTGCGAACGTACGCTAAGCTACTATATCGTTTCGTTTGGAATTCAGCGTCTCGTCTCCGTTCGACCTCGTACCCAGAAGTCGACGATGCTCCGAAACGACAGCGTTCGATCTCTCTTATCGCCGGTTGGCCCGGCTCGAAGGAAGCCCCCGACTGACAATGAGGAGAGATTCCATCGAACCGGCCGCCATGACGGGAGACGATCTTGGGAATATTGATTACGGTGTCCGAGCGATCCCCAGCCTGAATTTCTGATTCACGGACCCGCAGATACTTGTATTCCGTCTGTCCAGCTCGGGATTCCATTCTGGAGAGGGGGACGCGTTTTCTCGTTTTGGGTTCGCCTCGAGATAAGAATTCTCCTCGCGAACGGTCCGATCGGCGATGGCTTCATCGCTGTCAGCGAATATTTTTTGCCACGAACCGATCCACCGTTCCTTTAACTTCTATTCTTCGTTTTTAGATCATTCGGATGAATTTAAATTTGGACCAGTTGTGGTTTCTTTCGTGCTGTATTTTCGAAAACTTGTGTAATTTTTAACACGTTGTCGCGGTGTTCCAATTATATTCATATCGTGATAAATGTTAGATCTTTCAGGGATTCAAGCGAATTTAATTATGGAACATGAAAGTTATAGAGCCACGAGATATTACAAGTTGGGGATAACCTATCAGCGACCTTGAGCGTTCAATTGGCTCCGATGCAACAACAACAGCGAGGCTGTTTCATGGATAGAGCGGCAGTGTTTCATGGAAACGAGCCCTTTATTGTCCTCCGACCGATCGAAGGAGAGGAAGAAAAAAAAACGGTGATCAATACCGTCGTGTGAGACGCCGCGAAACAATGGATACACAACAGGGACAAACAAACTTTTATCCCGCTCTCTCGACATATCTTTCTCGGACACAAACGGAACTGCCGTATATATATAGATATATGTATGCGGAAACCGTGGACACACGGAGACAAATTCCTGGGAGGACGCGCGCGAGAAAAGGAGCCAGTAGTAGCACGAGAAGTTTCAAACTTGTGTCTACCATTTCTAGAAATAATTTTATTTGGACGATCGAGTTGTGGTGTCGCTGTTATTACCTTCATCTTTGTATTCATTTAAAATCTCACGAAAAATGATAAAATTGAAAAACTGAAATTAATCAAGTTCAAGCGAGTTCGCCAACGATACCGGAAGTCGATCGTCCTCGTGCGCTTTATCTATGAATCTCCCGTTTTTTTTCTTTTCGTTAGGTAAAACTGCTTAAACAAAGTGGCCGAAATGACTGTGGTGAATCACAAGAATTTTGGAAAAATAAACGACACATTCTTTTTTCAACTTGACAAGAACGCCACGGAAAGTAATATTTCCTTTTTTTTTTTTTTTTTTGATATTGCGCGCTTAGTTCGTGGCAAAGAACTAATAGTCAGCCTGGAAGAACGTGTAAAACTTTCTATACGCGGGGCGAGAACTTAATTAAACCGATCGATCGAGATACGGTAAAAAGCGAGTCTCTCGAGCGTTTTCTCCGTGTGCAGACTTTTTCTTTTTCTTTCTTTCTCTTTTCTTTCTTTCGTTATTTTTTTTTATTTTTTTTTTTTCGTTTTAATGGTTTCTTTTCCGTATCTTTCTTTTTTGGTCTCGTTCAGTCTGTACGTAGAACGGAGCCACTTTCGGTCTTCGGCTGTAGGGTGAATGGTGATCTGGTGGTGGTCAGGGTACACACAGAGGATAAACACTAGACAAAATACACGAATCCCCCGAAATGCGCTCGCAGCCGCCGCCGCACGCGTCCTGAGCAAATCTTCATCAGTGTTGAACAAAGGCCGCTGACCACGGTCACGCGGATACACTTTCTGATCCCGTTTGTCGGCTGGCTTTACGTCGAATCTAGTTACTAATTTTCACTCGAAATTTTCTTCGAATTCTTTCTTTTTCTACACAAATTATATCTATTCCTTAGATTTTTTTTACCATGCAGAACAAATATCAGACATGTCAGAGGTGGAAACTTTATTTCGAGAGGATCTATTGAGGTTTGACGGCTCTCCTTTTAGAAACCGATACTCGATAAGCGACAAAATTTGTCTAAAAGAGATTTCCGTCTCACAGAAATTGCAAAAAATCGTTACAATTAAGAATCTCGTTAACTATTTATTATCTATATAAACAGCCTACCAATAGTCAAACAGTTTCCGAATGTTGAACTAACGAAATTTCATCGACATCAGTAACTTTACGGGTTCTTCGTGTACGTGGCTGATTGTGAGTGGAACTTCAAGTACGTTGTGTAAGACGTTGTATCGATCAGGCAACGAGAATTGCAAGTAATTAATATTGGACCGCGCGTTAGAAAGCTCCTTTGATCGACAATGCTTCCGAGATGATCACTGACGTGTTTGGCATTCGGGGGAGGGAGGGGGTGAAACACGAGGAATAGGATAGTCAGGGGTTTGGCCGGGTTGTCACCCACCGGGGGCTCTCTTGATAATTCAGCTGTCACGGATATACCGGATTGTTTGGCGTAGCGGTGCAATCTGATTAAATCTGTTTTCTTCTTTTATTTTTTAATCCTTTTGTGATTGCGAAGTCGCTCACCATGGGGTAAACACGGTTCGATCTCGGACCAACTAAAACTTGGATTCCAATTTTTCCTACATTTTTGTTAATAATTGAAATATAAAAGAAAACTTTGTTTCTGTACCTCTTTTTTTTTTGTATTGTTCTTTTGATTAGAAATTTTGTTTGCATCTCGCGTGTGATTTATCGAACGGGAATAGGAATATCTTTGGCGTTGTCGAGGGATCGACACGACGGCCGAGAATTTTCGTAGTTTGCCCCATCGTGGAAGCTTCGTCGGGAAATGAAAACGCGTAAGCAAACTGGTTAGCTAAACCATCGTGACCGTCGTGTGCACATAGTCTGTGTAATCAAACACGTTTGCGCATCAAAACTGATAAAATGGTCTCTTTTCTCGGTATTTTGTTTTCTTGTATACACAATACTGCACATTTTCGAGCGTTCTATCACCGGCGTGCCGTAACACGAGAAACGGAAATGAAAACAAAAAAAATTCTCTTTTCCCCGGAATGAAATCAATGATCTGCGCAGTTTTCGTGGATGATAATAAACGAGGAAAGTAACCGCGGCGTTGATCCGAACGGATTTGAAATTGCGAAAGGCCAAACTATGACACGCAGCTATTGCTATACTCCGTTTACCTTTTGTTAAATAGTATACGCGTGTATATCGACGTCATCGATCGAACCAGTCGTTGCTAATTTTATAAAAATAAACCGATGATTCCTTTGACGAACACGATGATACGTTAATTGCAAAAGATTTGTTATGTCCAAATCGCGGTATACATGTATGTATCTGAAATAATTCTCTCTTCCGAATCGAATTGCAGTGTATTCTTAATAAATCAAGGGAATCAGGCAATGACTGGTTCGCTCGCCTACATATTATCCTCTTACGCGTCGTAAAAATAAGGATCTAAGCGTTCTATATATATATATATATATATTATAATATCATGGTAAATCCGAATAAAAAGAAGTGATCGATCTTACCTTTCGGTGTACTCGTTCATATGAGCGTAGCTTTGTACGCTATTCTCCTCGACGAGGAATTTCACGCGCTGATAAAACGACGCCGTGACGCTGGGTGGCTGTTTGCGTAGTAGCACGTCCACGGGATTATTACTAGTAAGGCACATGATATGCTCTGCGCAAGTTGCGTGCGAGCAACACTCGCTGTCAGAACAGTCCATCATGCCATCTGAGAAACATTACTTCTTAAAACACTACTCTCACCCTTTTACTACTCGGCATTGTTTGCCTTTCGTTTTAGTATCTTTCGTGAAAAGAGTTAAGGGATGATGATGGATATTTTCTCGGTATTAAAACGGAAGAACTGTAATTTACGGGGATGAAGTGGAGTGAAGGGAGAAGTTAGTTAGAGAAAAATGTAATTCATTAATAAGAGACATGTATGAGGGAGAAAGTGTAACGTTTTGTATTAATGTCAGTTATGTACTCAATAGCTTAGCAATTAACATTTTCTGACAGAAGACACTATAATAACCTACTAGTTCATTCAACTTTCAATTTTTAAGCAATATTTACAGTTTCAGAAATAAATATCACTGTTCTCGAAATTGAGATTGTTTTTAATACAAAATACCTTAAAACTTTTTACCATCGTAATTGATGAACCACGTATAATACAAGACGTTACAGGTAATTGGCATGGTTAAATGTTAGTAAAACAATAAAGAATATTTCCGACACTCACCCTGATCATTGTCAATGAAATCGTTACACTCCATTTCAAGACGGATACTGCAATCTCTACCCGCCCAGCCGGTCGAGCACTCGCAACTATACTCGCCGTCCTGCAAAGTGCAGAGCCCGTGGCGGCTGCACCCGTTCTCGCATCCGGCTATCAAGAAACCAAAGCAAATACTTTAATCCGCACTGTCGCCGAACGATTAAAGCTAATTGAAAACCGATGTTCGTTTCATTCTAGTTACTCTAGAATGGTATTCGCAACGTTTTAAGGGCAGGGGAAACTATTATCCCGGCTGTACGACAAAGCTACGGGGTGGAAAATCTTGAACGAAATCACTTGGAAAATCTACAGTTTCTCTTTTGGTCGCTCTGTCTGTTTTTTTTTTAAAATCTAGTCGGAATACCATAGTATCGTATCGTAATATTATACTTACGCAGGGTGCAGTGCCTTCCGTTCCATCCTTGGCTGCACACACAGGTGCCGTTTTTGCACTGTCCGTGTTCCGCGCAACGAGGATCGCAAGGCTTCTGGTCGCACTTGGTGCCGGTCCAGTCGTCGTTACACCTGAAAGTCCAACGGATTAATTAGATTCTCCTGCGCGTCCTTCGATCCCCCTTCTTGCGGGTTCACCGGATGAGAGGTCGTAAAACTTGAATTGGCTCGACAACGTGACGAAGATGCCGAAATGTGGGGGACAAGTTTTTTTCGGTGTCAGGAAGCTTTATTGTCGAATGTAAAATTGATTCCCTTCCCGGGCTTCAATCTTTTATAGACGGAAACGGGGGGTAGGAGGGGGAGCGCGTGAGTTCGAGTTCGGTTTCGAAGTTGCCCTCTCGCGGAGAAAACTTTTTACACTTAGAGGCTCTTTCACGGCGAGTCCCCGACCGATGGAACAAGAGGGAAGACGAGAGGCGTCAGCTTTAGAATATGAGAAAGGAGATCCTCTTTCGCGTCCTTGATTCTGACAAAGGGATCGTAGGACGGGACGGTCCTTCGAGTCGTGATAAGTTGCCCCCCACCCCCCGAAAGATAGAGCCTTTTTCTTACAATTTTTCACCTTCTTAGTCGGAACTTTTCGTGCCGACGATCGCGCCAGCAATTTACCCATTTTTAGCTCATTCTTCCTTGCACTCCATCCCCACTACCGGATTTTTGCCGCGTTACAATTTTTTTCTCCGAGTGCTGTTGACTTGTACCGATAAGCCAGGTCCATTGTTTGATACAGTTTCACAGAAATTCTGTCTTCGTATCACGGGTTACGTCTATGATTTCAACTTATTCGCTAATTCAGAGAAAACATATCAGGGCAGTTTGAGATGTAACAATATCAACTATCTTTCTTGTCGCTATATTCATCCCTGAACAATAACCAAATTGAAATTTCTACTTTCTCCCCGGTAAATAAGCTTTCTACAAATGGCAATTCATCGTGACACTGATCCACATACTTCCTTGGTTCAATGTATCCACGTATACCCGAATAACATCGCTAACAGGTCAAGCTAAATCGTGGACAAAGATAAATTTCTTTGTGCAGGGACGAACAAGGAGGGACAAGTGGCACACATCAGTTTCCTCATTCAAACCGGGTAACCCAATTCTAAGGGAACTGTGGCGTTGCAATAGACACGAAGGATCCATAAAGGAGGACAGTACAAAAGACGTTCGATAACAACTGGTATACTGACTTGCAGACACCCTGCTCGCAGGTTCCATGAGGTCCGCAGTCGAGGCCGCAACTGGGCTGCGAACAATCGACGCCTGTCCAATGTCCCTCGCAAATACAGGTCGCCGATTCCAGGTCGTACGTGCCGTGATCCGAGCAACGAGGCAGACACTGGTACACCTGCTGGTCGACCTGATTGCATTTTTCGCCCTGCCAGCCAGCTTTGCAGTAGCATTTACCGGAAACGCAGGCGCCGTGCCCGCTGCAATTAGGATCGGGACAGTCCGCTGCAAGAAGAGACAATTGCTTTTAAAAGAAAAATTAATTATGAAAAACAGTTTTTTATGTCCCAAGGGAAATACATTCATTCCTGCTACATAAGGGGGGGATCG